CTAGTTAACTAAGGGCTATTGCTCACATTGGGTTTAGTTATCTAAGGTTTGCCTTTGCTTCATTCACACAAGACAAACCACCCCTTTGCCTCCTTGGTTGGAATCAACCCGAAAGAAGGGAAAAGAGTTTATTTTTCCTACTTGATTTTCAATTGGTATGTTGTACCGACCTTCGATGGTCTGTGAACTCTACCCTCTGTGCTTGTACCCAAGGCTCTGGGTGAGAGATTCTAGAGTTCACCTAAAACATTAGCATTTTAGGATCCCAGCCTACAAGAAGGTGAATGTTTCTATTGTTCAGTTATGCAATTTTCCATATTGCTGAAACAGGCCAGCCCTGCTTGCCAGAGAGGATCTGCGTGGACTGACAGTTTATGAAAGAGTCTAGAAGGAAGACCGAAGGGACCAGGAAGGTGGCAGGAGGGTCAGCTGGAGGGCAAGGAGGGCAGGAGAATGATGCCCCTGGGCGGGACTGACCGGGGCACTTGGCCGGGAGAGCTGTGGGGTAAGCATAGGCTTTCACTCTTGGCCTAAGAAAACCTTCACAGGGGCCTAAATAAAACTTTTTAGCTTAAAAAACTTCAGCAGTAATGAGTTCCAGCTGTGTGGCAGAGCAAATTCCCAAGTCTGAATAGTTTCCCTAGAAAGAAACGATTGTGTCTGCCCCTGCCTCCTTAACTCTTTCATCCCCGGGGGAGAAATGCACTCAAGCCTGTTCTCTAGCCCTGGGGAGGTAGGATGGGCTGAGTGGCTTTGGTGGCCTTTGCAAGGTGGGAGCAGACTCCTGTGGCCTCCCCTGTCCCAATCAGGTCTCTGAGACAGGCCAAGGCTCGGTCCCACTGCTGACCCCCCAACTCTCTGTTACAGCCATCACCTCAATCAGGGGTTGTAAACTGGAGTCTGCTGGCCAAATCCTGCCCCTTGTCTGTTGCCTGCTTTGGTAAATAGAGTGTTTTGGGGACACAGCCACACTTATTCACTTATGGACTGTCTATGGCTGCTTTCCTGCTACATTAGAGGTGAGCAGTTGTGACAGAGAGAATATGGCCTGCAAAGCCTAACATGTCCACAACCTGGTCCTTTACAAAGTTTAAGAGCCCTGATTAAATAAAGTGTACGGTTACTCAAGGCCTGCCTTTCTATATCAGTATGAAAGCTTTGGTCTCGTTTCACTGAGGAATGGGGCAAACAGAGATCACAGAGTCGGATCCATTTTAGATAAGAAACTGAGCTTCCCAAAGTACAGGGACTCATCCCGGGTTAGATCACGGTAGAGTTGGGGTGAGTAGTAAGTTCTCCTTCCCACCCCGTGATGCCCAGGCCGGTGCCTTTTCCACCATATTGCTGCCTCTCCAATAGTGCCTGCCTCTCCAACGAGGGAGCTCACCCCCACAGCTGATGAACCAAGGCCACAGATAGAGCTTTGCTCTCATGATCAATAGCAAAATACCCACACTGAACTGGTTTTCAGAAAGGACATTTTTATTAAGATCTTTTTGCTATGTTTTGCGTGGAAGTACTCTAGTGCTCATGAAAGCATATTTTGTAACTTGTGCGTGCAATGATCTGGTGTTTCAGTGGCTGAGTATTTGTATCTGATGGTTAAATAATCGTTGAACCCAAGATACAGCCAAAACAAGAAAAGGGCTCTCTGCTCATTTGATCAAACCCTATGAACAGTGGCAAAAACTTGCATAGTGACTTTAATGGGCTATTACACTTAAAACATGTACAGAATAGGTTATTTTTTTCAGCTAAGTTTTAACTTAATTCTTTCTAATAACCCCTCAACAATAAATTTTGACTTTGACCAAATAGACCAAAAGTTCTGAGAGAGCAAGTAGCAGATTTTTTGAAATGTATGCATTCTTTCCAGCTTTTTTGGAATTTACGTAATACAATAGCACAATAGAGTAAACTCTCAATTAACTGGAATCAGTCTACACCCAAGCTCTCAAATAACTGAAATTCAGTTTTGGGGTCACCCTTCCCATCCCTCAATATTTAGGGAAAAGAGCCTCATAGCAAGAAAACAAGTGAATGGAAATTTAGTTTAAAATTTGACAAAGCGACTTCTGGAAAATGTCTCTGGAGTCAGCACAAACATGGAATGGGAAAGATGAGTAATTTTCTGGGGTCCCCACAATTTGTTAGGTATATGCCCCTTGGGGGACTGGGCAGGAGATTCCAGGACCAGCCAGAGGAAAAGGTAGAGTTGCCAGCTAGAGCTAAAGAAGAGAGGTAGCTTGTGTTCTTACAACCAGCCCTGAATCAGACCACCCCCAGGCACCAAGGTTCCCCTTACCTCACACTCATGGGCCAAAGTGGGCTCTCCTAAGCACCATGCTCTCTGGACAGGCAGAAGGAAATAGGTGACTCGGTAGCTGTATTCTCCCGGTTCAAATACCAGGTTTGTTCTTTAACAGCTGTGTAACCTTGAACAAGTTACCTAATCTCTTTATGCCTTTGTTTCCTCATTTGTTAAATGGGAATGATAATAGTGCCTGCAAGATAAGGTTGTTCTGAGATTTAAAAGAGCAAATACATATCAAGTTCTGAGGACACAGTCTGTTACTTTCAGGGTTTTGTGCATGCTGCTCCTTCAGCCTGGAACACCCTCATGCCACTCAGGAAGAAAAATGACTTTCGCTGACTCTCCCTACCCTGCTTGTCTTATCCCATACAAGGCTGGATTATATTTCCTGCCTTTGGGTTCCCATGAAACTCTACGCTAATATAAGGTATTTTATTTACTTGTCTGATTCTCCCATTAGACAGGTCTCAGAGAGCAAGATTTTAGTCTTAAGCATCCAAGGTCAGGCACAATGTGTAGTACAGACTATCCCCCAAAGTCGGGTTTTTAAATGAATGCATAATGCATGAATAAATGAACCATGAATCAATCAATAAGTAAACAAATAAAACCCAAATTTCTATTGCATATCTTCCATCCATATGGACCCTAGATTGTGTCCTTGACACTCGCTCACCTATCTGGCTTTGAGTGAATTACAAAAAAGAGCTCACCTCTTCAAGACACTTCACTTCCATCTCTCAGAAAATTGTCATCATGTGTTGATTTTGTTAGAACAAGACATTTTACATTCATCTTCCAGAAAGTTTTGACAATACCTATATAAATCTACAGCGCCTATCGGGTAAACGATACCATCTAGGGTTATGCAGGGTCCAACCTACACAAAGATGGGGGCCTTGGCCGTGCTTCTTAAGGCAGAAAAACAGACTGATTTATTTAGAAATAAATGTTTTACTGTCTCTAAAACTCAGAAATCAGACCATGCTGTGAACCAGCCACTTGGTCTTGTTCTTGGATGTGTATTTTGCTGCCAAGGACTGCAAGTTTGTCTAATGCCACACTGGGACACACCATGGCATCAGTCTTTTTGCTTGGTTCATCCATCTTCCTCAGTTCTCCTTGCTCTGAGACTTTTGTAGGGTTTTCCTCCCAGCAGTGAGATATGCAGTGAAAAGAGCATCAACTGGAAGCCAAGAGACTTAGGTTTTATTTCCAGTTCTACCACTAACTGGTTGGATGATCTTGGACAAATCTCTGAACTGATCTGAGTTTTAGTTCCCTCCTTAGAAAATTAGTAATAAAACAATTTGAAGACCACAAAACTCTCTACAAAGATAAAGTGCTATCATCATTATCATCATCCATAGTAATAATTTATTATTTAGTAACAATAACAATAATAGTAATAGTAATAAACCCACCACAAATGCCACATTTTAAATTGATTCAAATATTCTGCAAATTAGTTGAGATAATACACTAGTTCGATAGTAAGCTGGCAGGGATTTGATTATCTCAACAACGCCACTCTCATATCAGAACAAAGGACAAGAGCGTAGGAAGGAGCGACACTTGATAAGCTTTGATTAGGGAGAAAGAAACTAGGAACATGAGATGCCTCCATCCACAAGAGTTTGAAACAGGGGAACAACAGAAGGGTATGGGATTCCTGAAAGAAAGTGGAAATCTTGTCATCCCAAAAGCCTTCTCTCAAAGTCTGGTGCAAGGATTGCTCTGAAAACGGGTTTCAGGGTCTTGCGTGGTTTCTGATGGAGAACTCTCGATTATGCTGTGTACTATAATTTACACATTTGTGATCCAAACACTATAGTGACCCTATTGGCCTCAAAGGGTCAGTCCTAATTCTGGTTGAGGGAGAGAGGATTGGGAAGGAACTGTCTAGACAGAACTTTTCCACTTAAGATAGAAAGTTCCAGATTTGAGTGAAACTTTGTCATACTTTGGGGTTCAGGACAGTTTTACAACCTTACAATTAAGATGCTTTGATATCAAGATAGTAGAATGTTAGGACTGGAACATTGTAGCCCAATAATATTCCCCCTAGAGATGAGGAAACTGAGGTAACTTGTCCAAAGTCATGAATCAAAACAATGTAAGAGCCATAACTCCAACCGAGTTAGCCCAAATCTATGGATATCAATAAGCCATGTTACTCCAAATGCCTATACATCAGTGAGGTACTAATGAGAGTTCCTAGTGAACATCTGCAGCTTCTGCCAATGCAGGTTTTCTGCATGTCCATATCCAGTTTTTCCACTCGCAGCCACCACAGGTCCTGAGAACCCTCAGTTTCCTCCTGAGGTTTGTTACTGCACACCCGTGATACAGCGTTGTAGACTGACGTGTGTGGGAGGTAGCAAAATGAAGGCAATGAACATGATGGACTGAATGATGATATTGGAATTACTCCTGTGTCAGGGTCTCTAGATATGCTGCTAAGGGTGGGACCAGGTACAGAAGTCTGGCCAGTGCTGGCCCTCTTTCCCGACCTTCTTTCCCTCTTGTTCATTGGGAGAAGCGTATACCACCAAGCAGATGCCCCCTCTAGGTTCTCAAGTGTACCTACAAACTGGTGCTCACCACAGTGCTAGGTACTGTTTTGTTTCATCTGTGACCATCTACATTCATTTCTACCCATTTTATCCTCTCTCCTTAATCTCAGGACTAGAAGCCAGAGAACTACATTTCCCAGACTCCTTTACCTCCAGGGTGTCTAAACATGATTTCTAGTCTAAATATGATTTCCAGTCTACCAGCAAGATGTACCAGCATAAGACGTGGAAGGTGGAGGAGAGATCAAAGAGATCATTTTCTTCTGGAAGGAGCAGCATGGGACGCAGTGCACAAGAGATTTTGTTGTGGCCTTCTGAAATTTACATGCCACAGGCTTGCGTAAAGAACTGGTTTCCAAGCTCTTGACAGCTTCAGAAGTTCTGGGACTGTTGTAACCGTGGCTTAAAAGCTAGTGCAATCCTCCTGACTTTCGCCCTTTTAGCCTTTCCAATGGTTTTGTAAGTATTTATTTCCCCACATTAAATCTCTTTTTGCTTAACAAACCTAAAGTGATTTTATTTTATTGGCTGAACTCTGCCTGATAAAACCAGCCTGCCACTCACCATTGTGTGATTTGGGGCAAGTGACTTCCCCACTGTGGATCTCAGCGTCCACTCTGTAGAATGACAGGTTTGGAAGAGATGGTCTCTAAGATTCCTTCTAGTTTTAACGTAGGTAAAATTCCATGAAACTACAAATTTTCTCTTGTATATTTGTGAGCAAGCAAGGGGGAAAAGGGGAAGGAAGTTTGTCTTTTAAGAGTCTAGATACATCCTGCAGCTGAGAGATGTGGTCCTCTGAGAAGTCACAGGATTTCTCTGGTAACGGAAAGGCATCCAGGTACAGCTTACAGGCATGGGTTCGATAAAGGTTAGTCAGTCTTTGGTTAACCTCTCTCCTGGAAAGAATACCAGTTACATTACCACTTCTTTATGAAAGTGGAGCTCACCTCACCCAGAATCTCAAGAAAAGCTCATGCTTCTGCCATGTCTAAGTTGAGATTCATTTGCCCCCTCCCACCACCACCAAGTCTCAACTTCCTCTCTCATCTTCGGAACTGAATATGACAGGCATTCATTCGACTTAGAGCATTATCCAGTTCAAGCTCTTCTTTAGAAAGTCAGATCCCTCTAGGAGGGTATTTGTGGTAGATGTGAACAGCCATTTCACCCTGTAAGAGTTAGGGCGGTCAATGTTGTCAGTGCCCCACCCACATTCCTCCAGCTGTTCCTCTCCAGTTTGCCCCAGTTACTTCCAACCATAGGCATCAGCATTACTTTGCCTAACTTTTCTCTGAAACTGAGAAAGGCCAATCCGCCCATGAGCAAGGAATCCTGACGCGCCAGAGAGTTAACACCCCGCAATCAATGATTGACAAGATGGTGCATAAATATCCCGGTTCCCTTGCCCCTGGATGGGATAACTTGGAATAAGGTGGTATATTTCCTACACTATTTTTCAGAGTTTCCACATGGGACTAAGGTCCAGTTGCCCATAGTGGTAACTCACTTAACACACCCTTTGTTGGCTCTCTTACCTTCCAACCTCTCTTCCCAAATAACCCACATGAACTTGAATCCTTGCCTCAGGGTCTGCTTCTGAGAGAACTCAACTAAGGCATTTAGTTTACCAAGTGCTTTTCTTCATGCCAGCCAGTTACATCAGGGGGACTGAGATATGGGAATTTTTATAGGTAAAGATGCAAAGTAAATTCTGGAGTTAGGGATGCAGAGCAACCTGGGTCAGGGGCTGTAGCAAGCAGCACAGAGGCCTTGAGGGACTGAGGAAAAGCCAGCAAGAGCAGGAAGTAGGTTGAAAAACATGGGACACTTCTTTGATGTCATCACTTATAAAGCTCTGACATCTAACAAGGGCTCAAAAGTGTTTGTATTCTTGTCAGTTATCTCACATTCTTTAGTACCAGCCCCAGCAATCAAATTATTCAATCATGCTTTCATTCATTGATTCAGTCACATATTCACTCATTCAACAATTAAAATCATTTCTTAAATGTTTATGTTGTGCTGGGACTGTGCTTGGTGCTGGGATGCAAAGATGAATAGAGCACAGCCCTGCCTTTTAGGTGCTTCCAGTCAAAAGGCCATGAATGGAAGCCCCTACTAGTACCAAGGATATCTCCCCATTCAGGCTCGCTTGGCTGGAGCCGTCGTAAAAATGTCTTTGCTTGGCTCTGCAAGGGGTGGGCCGCAAACTGTATTTTGCTCATTCAAAGCAAACAAGCAATAATGTAATGGCAGGAAACCTCATAAAATGGTTATTTCTATTCCCGGACTGCTCCGGGGTTCCATCTAATTTATAAACATTGTTTTATGAAAAATTGAGATCATTCTTGGAAGTGCCCAGAGAGAGTGACCTTTGCTTGTTTTGGTGCAGTGTTTGTGTGTGAATGTGTACATGGCTATTGTTGCTAAGGAGGCAATGGCCAGCCTGGGGTAATGGCTGTCTTTCCATTCTGCACATTTCCTTAGTCAGGGCGGGTGTAACTGACACCCTCCCATACCCAATTCTCCCCAGAAAGAAAGACATGGAGTCAGCAACCTAAGTAAGTGCCCGGGAGAGGCTGGCCTCCCCATGGCGTGATGAGGACAATTCCATCTATGCCTCCAGATGTTTTTAGACTCAGCCATCTTTGGGCACATGCCTCAGCTGGTTTCTCAGGGGCTTCTTCATCTAACCTTTCATGGGAGTCAGGCAATAATACCAAACTCTGTCTCTAGGGAATTTGCGTCAAATTCCAGAACTCAGAGCTGGTAGAAGCTTAGGAAGGTGGGAGAGTGTGCTTTATATGGGGCAACAGAGAATCAGATTCAAGTGAAGCTTAGGAATGACTAACCCCAGGAACAGCTCAGCGTAAGAGTGAAGAACACTGAGGTAGAGCCACCTTCCAGCTCTGCCACTTAACTTGCTGTGTGGCCTGGACACGTCATTTAAACTCTTTGAACTTCAGTTTTCTCAAATGTCAGTGAAAATACCTGTCTCATATTTTATGAACTAATTGAGAAAATATTTATAAGGTGTGTAAAATACATAGCAGCCAGCCCCTGTCAGATACTTGGTTAGGCTCTTTCTTTTGTGTGGAATGTTTTTTCCTCAGGTATCTGCCTAGATCACCCCCTCCCTTCATTCAAGTTTCTGCTCAAATGTCACCCCAGTCAAGAAGTCTTTCCTGCCCCCAACTTAAAGAGCAGTCCTTTCTCTCTTTGTTCTCTATCCCCTTCCCTACTTCCCTTTTCTTCATAGCACTTGTCATTACGTGAATCATATCACATATATCTTTTTGTTTAATTAGTTTGTTTTTATTTTCTGTCTTGCCTAACTAGAATGTGTACCATGAGAGCAAGCACTGTTTCGTTCATTGTTGTATCCCCAGTGCCCATAATGATGCCAAGCACACAATAGCTGCTCAATATATATTAATTAAATCAACAGTGAGATGTATTACTATTCTTCCTATGTGTCACCCAGAGTGCGTACTCCGGACTAATTTAGTAATGAGGGAGCACAGATTAAACCTAAATGTTTACAAAAATGCCCCCATCAGAATTTGCCAGACATGGTTAGGCTGGTGATCATAAGAATGCATATTTTCTCTTAATATCCACAAATGTCTCTGTTTTTCTGTGGATATCGTTCTAGCTTCTTCTTCCCGCCAGTCTGTCACCACAGTTTGTTTTAGCCCTGGGGCTCTTTTGAAAGTGAATCTTTTGACTCTGGGATCATTTTTTTCTTTTTATGGACCAGTAGCACTGCAGAGGGGAAGCATCTGCTCCTGCTCCTCTGAAAGCCCTTGAAGGAGGTTGCAGTGGGCTGCACAGCTCCCTGGGGGCTTTTCTGGAGCCATCACATCTGTGAGGTAATGGATGTGACCCACTCACACGGCCAGAGCACGTAACAGCTAATTTGGTGAGTGAATTTCGAGAAAGGGTTGATGTAATTGGACCCAAGGGACCCTGGGTGGGGCCATGTGGAGAAGACAGCCTTCTCACTGGTCTGGCATGGCCTAGCTCTGAATTAAACAAGAATTGACTGGTAGGAGGATAGAGGCACAAGCATCAATGAAACCTCAATGTAGATGGTAGCCTACCACTTTCTAAAGCCATTGGTGCTCCTATAGGGGTTCTGCTGAACTAAAGGTCAAAATAAGAAAACAGAAAGTCAGAAAGGTGAAGTGACTTACCCAAGGTGACACAGCTTGTTAGTGGCAGAGCTGAGATTAAATCCTTGTTTGCTCTTTTCTGAGCCAACAGTAAGCAAATTTAAGACAAGGACTGTGTCTGATTTGCTCATCATGGATTCCTCAGCACCTAGGACAGTGCCTGGCACTCACATATTTGGAACATGCCATGCATCTGTACATCCACCATTTTGAACTAATGTGTTCAGAAGAAATAAGTCAAAAAGGTAGAGAGGCCAAAGGGTTGGGTGGCTGCAGCGGTTATCCCTGAGCTTTTACTGAGTCAGCTTTTCCATCTCTGTCCTTAGTTCCCCTCCATCAGAGCTGTTTCTTGGCATTTTGATCAACAGGTCCCAGGTTCTTCTTCCAAGAGAGCTTTGAAATGTTTGATCCAATGGCACAGTTGAGGAAAGAATCTAAAAATTCTTGTTTATCCATTCTAGGGTTGCTAAAAAACAAGAAACTACTTTTAGACTTATCACATACACGTTATGCCATCTGGTCAACTGAATCCAGCTCATCAACTCACTGGAAATACATTGACTCAATGAACTAACCAGAGATGACTAGCTAAATAGCTAAATATGTCACTGGAAAAGGATAAAATGACAAGGAGCTTTAGGTAGGGCAAAATACACATTCCTGGGTTTGAACCTGGGAGTTCTAATTCAGTAGAGCTATGGTATGGCTTATGAATATGCATTTTAACAAGTATCCTGATGAATTAGATGCAGATGACACTGGGTGCAAAAGCCCTCATGCAAGAGTCAAGAGATGAAAGTTCTAGTCAGGAACATGCCTCCACCTAAGTGTGGGAACTTGTCCAATTCACATGACCTCCCTGAACACAACTTTCTGATCTGGACAACCAGCACATAGTTCAGGGCTTGCAAACTGGCAACTTGGCAACTCAACATGGCATCCAGAAAAGTTTGCTATTTCTATTTTTTCAGGGCTCTAGGCAATCTTATGCTTGTAGGCCTATCAAATCTATCAAACATATTAAAATTAACCATATTCCACATTCCACATTAAATATAATTGAAATTAGCAACCAAATGATTGAATTGCAGTTGATTGGTTTATATGTTACATTCTATAGGCATCTGATTAAATCTTAATTTTAATTTTGATATTTTCTTTTTATGTTTTGGAGCCAAAACACATTTTTTTTTAGGTCTCAAACATGTTCACAGGCTTTAAAAAAAATCTTGGGTCTTAGATATTATGTCTTTAGCAGCACCTGATAGATGAAACTGCCCTAATTTTGTTTGGCCAACAGAATATTTTAGCGGACAGTGAAATTAATTAAGAGTTAGCTTGATAGGAATACAAGCAGCTTAGCCTCTGGGGTCTTAAGTGCTGTCCGTTTCACACATTTGTATTACTTACCTGGCCCTGCAATTATTACCCATTATCCACCATGAGAAAAATGTTAAGATGCTTTCCAGCCCCAAATCTTATTGTTCTATAAATTATAACTTCTCTGCCTACAAAGCATAGATCTAGCACATCAAATTGGCTAGTATATCTGAGGTACACAATTGGCTATGCTCTAAGTGATCATTTAAGATTATCCACTGTGATAAACAGTAAATGTCTGACTAGATCTAAGCCTTAACTTCCTATTCACTTGCTTTAAAAGGCTGAGGGGATTGATTTATTGGGCAACAAATTCTTTTATTTACTTACTTATTTATGTATTTATTTATTTATTGAGGAAGATTAGCCCTGAGCTAATTGCTGCCAATCCTCCTCTTTTCCCTGAGAAAGACTTCACTTACTTTAAAAGGCTGAGGGGATTGATTTATTGGGCAACAACTCTTTTATTTATTTATTTATGAGGAAGATTAGCCCTGAGCTAATTGCTGCCAATCCTCCTCTTTTCACTGAGGAAGACTAGCCCTCAGCTAACATCCATGCCCATCTTTCTCTACTTTATATGTGGGACGCCTACCACAGCATGGCATGCTAAGCAGTGCCGTGTCCCCACCCAGGATCCGAACCGGTGAACCCCGGGTCGCCAAAGCAGAACATGCACACTTAACCACTGCACCAGTGGGCCAGGCCAGGGCAACAAATTCTTTAAGTCTGCATGGCAGAGCCATCAACAAAAAGTTATACAAAGAATATGTTCATGATAATTTTAGAAACTTTCTTCACAAAGTGTAAAGCCAATCTATACAAAGGAATGAATAAAGAAAGAAAGAGAGAGAGAGGGAGGGAGAGAGAAGGGAGGAGGGAAGAAGAGAAGGATGGATGGAAGAAAGGAAGGAAGGAAGGAAGGAAGGAAGGAAAGAAAGAAGGAAGTGAGGTGATATGTTCACCAAGTTGAAATCTGTTGGGGTGTAAAATCCACCCTCAGAAAGGGGTCATCACTTGGAAAGTAGGAAAAGAGAGAAAAAAGCTTTTGTAAATAGATTCTTACTTTCCAGTTTAGATTAGTTTCCTCCCACATAGGTACCAGAGTTAGGTACACATGTCCAAGGAGTTCTGTGCACCTTAATTTCTGGATTATCTGGGTGACGCTCTCATGAGGCTGTTGTCTCACTGATGAAGCTTTATGGTACAACAAGGCTCACCCAGCTGGAATCTTAGTTCCATGAAGGCAGGAACCACATCTGTCTTGTTTAGTACTGCATCTTCAGGATCTTGCCAAGAGTAGGCTTGCAAAACATTTATCCAATGAATGAACTTGAGTTGCTTTTGCAATTTTTATACTGCTACCAAGTGGCAATAAAGAAAAGAAATAGAATTTAAGCCTACTAGAAAATCTGAAAAGCATTACCGAGAGAGAGGTATATGATTCTGACCAAATCAGCTTGGCATTTATTCTATCTATGTGGGGTCCAGACAGAAAGTAATGGAAAATTTGTAGGCTATTCAGGTAAAGTTTTGGTTATGCCATTGTGTGATTTGTACATGACTATCATTGCTCATGCTTTGGACATGGGACGCATCACACTATGCCAATTCCAATTCAATAGCTACTTGCTGCACGTGCAGATACAGAACTTTTCCATCACCAGAGAAAGTTCTCTTGGATAATATTGCTATAGGGAATGTTCTTGTTTTTATTAAATAACCTTCTGGTTCATATTTTGTTGCAACAGGTTTAATTATCTGTGTTTGAATTTCTGTGTCCAATACTGATATGGAAGAATGTTTGGTGCCATGGGTAACCTACAGATTGATGAAATGCTGTTTGATGAAGTGGATTTTGCAGCATATTAATATATGTTTTACTTGTTAAAAGCAAAATATGAGTTTTTCAAAATTCAAAATTTATTTCTAAAAAGCCATAAAGCTAATGTCAACACAAAGCTGCGATATAGATTGTCATAAATAAAATATCCCATATCATGAACATTCTTTTGGTTTGACAGTTTATATCAAGTGTATTTGATGTTTTTCTTGCAGTTATTAGACAGAACTAAGAAAAAGATAATCTGTTTATAAAAGTAGATAATCTATTTATTCAACCACTGTGTTACAATACAAGCAAAAGAACTACCAATATTTTTAGAACAATCTGAGAAAGGAACTTGAAACTGTATCTCAGAGTAGGGACAGATATATTTTACCTCTTGCCGTTAGTCTTATTCTTCAAATTTATTCTCACCTTCTTTAACTCAGTCTCAATTCTGCCTTTTTCTTTTTTCACAACACAGGTAGATTTTTATCCTTCAGAAAAGCACTTCCAAAGAATGAAACACACAGCATGTTAGACAGAATACAGACAACTATTTCTTTATTTTTAAATGTATATATTAGAAAAATATAATTATTCTTTCAAAACCATAAATTCTCAAATACTAAGTTTCTTAAAAAAATAAATTTACGAGGCCAGTCCCAACAGCCTAGTGGTTAAAGTTTGGCGCATTCTGCTTCAGCAGCCTGGGTTCTGTTTCTGAGCATAGAAACACATTGCTCATCTGTCTCTGGCCATGCTGTGGTGGCAACTCACATGAAAAAAAGAGAGGAAGATTGGCAATAGATGTTAGTTCAGGGTAAACCTTCCTCAGCAAACAATGATAATCATAATAATAATAATAATAAATTTATACAAAAGTATAAGAAAATTTGTAGAAAACACTGGATAAATAAAAGTAGTGGGATCCTGAGAGGAAAAAAATCATGAAGTTAGTATAAAAATGACTAAGGTGTAGAAAATACTGCGTAAAATAACCACCAATCTTCTCTGG